AAATTTCAAACGGCGACAATAAATAATATTCGATTTTCCAAATGTATTGTTCAGGTTTCGTCCGAGAGAATAATTTACGACTTTAAAATTTTGGAAATGTGTAATATATAATACAAAAATCATCTTCGATATTAGATATATATATTTAAGAATTAAAACAACATATTTTCCTTATTAATTTAATATAAAATGCTTTTAATTTTGAGCATAAATAAAGAAGTAATATATTATTATTATATATAGTTTTGTCTGTTTTTGATTTCTGCTCGCAATATTTCAACACCTCTCCTTATAGATAAGCTTGGTGCAATTTTTATTATTTTTTTTTTTCTTATGGTGCCTCCCTTTTTAAAGTCTTTTTCCTTATTTTATATTAGTATATAAAAACATCGTTCCAGTTTTTCAAAGAGCAAACTAATGCGGCTAATATCAAAGAAGTTGCAGTTCTTCAGTATTTAATCCTCATCGTACTCTTTCTTCAACTTACGCTTTTTTGCCACGTTGCGAGTTTTTATCGCTTTACGCTTTTTTGCCTTACGCCCGTTAGCAGATGGATGACGATCTTTTGCACTATGGATTAAATCTTCATTGGAATTATCAGAAGTAACACATGCCACATGATCATCGGAAATGTATGCATCAACCAACTGTGCTTGTATTATATCGCTGTCACTTGAGTTTTTAATTTCCTGCAAAATATAATTATAATATTTATAAAAATATATATTATAATAAAATAAATATCAGAATATGTATATAGATATGTATATAGATATATATACATATATAATGGATATATATATAGTATTACATCTACCTCTGGTACAAATTTTACGCATTCTGAAGTGGTATCATCGCTCTCATTGCACGGTAAAGTTTCGATGTTGTCCGTGGATCCACATGCATCACGTGCTAAGAAACCTTTTAGAACTTCGTTATTTAAACACAGTTTGTTGTATATTCTGCCCGCAACCTGTTCCGCTAGCTGATTGGTGAAAGCTTTACTAAAGTTAATCTCAATTTGAATTTTCTTTAATTGACTATCTTCAATCGAACTAGTGTCAGATGAATCAGTACTTATTTCTTCAGACATATTGTTTTACGGGTAAATAATTTTACAAGATATTTTGTTACAATATATACCTAAAAAAATAAAACTTATAAGTAAAATATTTGAAATGAATTATTCTTTGTAAGTTTATTAAAACAAATGTCATGGTTAACTAAAAATGTTTACCAGCACACTTTTCTTACACTTGTATGTTATGATTTTGGGAATGATTTATATAATGTATTAATTCTATGAAAACCAGTAGATATATAATAATTTTGTCATAAAAGGTACGAGTACAATGCCCTATTGTTACCGGCAACCGAAATGTTTGACAAATGATGTTGGGCATTACTCATATTGAAAGTAAAAAAGCTGAATAGTCTGTCATTTTTGTGTAGCCAAAGAAAAATTTCAGATTATGTCTCTTACGGTGATGTATTAAATCAAAAAAGTGGTATTGACTTGCGGTTAAGACTTCGCCATTTAGGAATCTCTAGAATAATTGAAAACAACATAGTGGACTTAATGAAATACCTGATTCGAAGGCAATTTTTGTTGAATAACAAAACACTATGTATATATAGTAACAATACTTTAATGAATCGCAGTATAATTTTGAATTAGTAATGTTAAATTGCCTTAGTTAAAGCTGAATTTGACAGTAGAAAAAAATAATACAATGAAAGGCTAACAGAAGATGCTAACCCTTTTAGCTAGAAATCTCCCACTTCTATCCACGAGTACTTGTCTAAAAAGAAAAAAAAAACTAATGTCTAATGCTTTTTTTAACCAAATTTAAGCATTCTAATATATCGTCGAAATTTTGTTCAAAACATAGATTATGCTGATATCCATTTAATAACTAACTAAGATGTAATATTATCCAGATAAGCTTCAAAATACATAAACTTCAAATTTAACTAAAATAACAGCGAGATATTGTAATGCCACTATTCGTACATACCGCTGATTCATAGTTTCTGAAATAAACTATCATCCATGTTTAACAAACTAATCTTTACGATCTGAAACAATAATACTTTTGCTTTTAATAAATAATTCAAAAAATTTTGATATTGCTCTGCGTTATCGGATATATCTAAGAATATATTTGCCATAAGATACAAATAAAGATATTATGAAAAATTGTGATCTTAAGTAAACGCATCCATTATACCATTTGATCAAAAAAGAACGAGAAGTTAAAAAAGCTCGCAAAATTTTAATTTTTAATCATTTTCTTTATTATCGCCTTCAAAGTACTCTCCTCCTGCGACAATACATGCATGCCAACGCTTGAATCACTTTTCCATACAAGTTTTATAGACCGCCGAAGCTATGGCCTTTAGTTCACGCAGCGAATTCTCTTTTATGGCCTCTATGGTCTCAAAACGCGTTTATGGTCCTCGCAACAACAATTTGAGTCGGGGGAAGACGACAAAGTCACACGGGGCCATATCTGGAAACGGTGGTACGGTGGTTGGTTGATGACGCTGTATGAGCCAATCCGTTATCGTGGTCTAAAATCCATGAGTTTTTCTTCCATAAATCTGGCCTCTTTTTGCGAATGGCCTCACGCAAACGACGCATAACATAGCTGATTGTGCTAGCAAAATTGGTCGTGTTACGTTATGTGGTTTGGTTCCAACTACATTTCAAATATTTAAAAAGATAGATAAGATAGTTCGCTGTGAAAACTGTTAAATCAAATTTTTAGCTTTGAAAAATACTATTATTTTAAATGTTTAAGTAGTGTTGCAATAAGCGTTAAAAGTTCAAATGGGACAAAGTTGAGAAATAAATTTATTAGTGACGAAAAACTTGACTTCTTTCATTTATCAGTTATTTATCAAGTAAACCTTTAACTTCCTTTCTAGTTATATTTTCGGTATTAGAAGTATTTTTTTACCTCTTTAAAATATTTTATTAATTTAAAATGTCAAGTTTTTGGATATTCCTGGAAAATAAATTTATCGAAGTGACACAAACAAAAGAAAATTCTCAATGCGAAACTTGAAAAAGGAAATAAAATTATAAGAAAAATTGAAAAATTTAGCCAAAAATTGAAAAGCAGGATAAAACTTCCCATAAACTTGAGGCTATGAAGAAGAGACATAGTTCTCATTACAAATAAGGGTAATCGGTTTTATTTTAATTTTTAATTTTATTTGTTCATACCATTTTGTTAAAGAATAATAAGATGGTCATGACATTCTCAAGAAAACTAATAAAAAAGCAAATTATTCGGAAACCTCCGAACGATACGTAAAGGGAAGGACAAAGTTTCTGAGTGGTATTACAGAAATACTTTAATAAACTTAGCCAATTTTGCACGAAATTCAAGAAAAGGAAATAATCCGTATCGTAAAAACAAAATATAAATAAAATAAATTTATTCCAACATATATTAGTATATTGGACTGAAGAAAATTTCGCAGCTGTTGTTATGCGTAAATGTCAACCATGAGGCTTAGTTTAATATATTAACGATAAATTATGATGTCATGCTTGTTCTGAAAGTTTGGATATGCGAAAACTAAAATGTTTCCAGCGAGTTTTTTAAGAATAAAAATTTGTGATGCAGTTTTACTCAGAATAAAATAATATTAAAATTATAACTGAGAAAAGTTAACTCCTTAATTTTAAATTATTATTTTTAATTAATTAAAAATATTTTGCCACTGAATTTGTTTAGAGTTTACTTCAGTATTACTATAATAGCCTTTAAGTAACAAATAAATAATAAAAAGAAATTATATTAAATTGTATAAAATTAAAAATTAAATAATTTCTACTTTTATTTTAATTTGTTTACTTTTTGACACTTAAATCTTTGCAGAAGTCAACAATATTCGTAAAACTTTCTTCACTTTCTTTTTCCATTTTAATGTAATTTCTTTTTAAATATTGTGTAATAGTTTTTTATTCTTTTTATTTATTTATTTTGTTTACGTTTGAAAAATACAAAAAAAAAAGAATAAATCCATTTTCTAGCATTCTTATATTAAATGATGCAAAACTTTGTTAGTCTCGTGAAAATTTTACTCCTTAAATAAAACGAATATGTGAAAAAGTAAATAGAAGTTCAGGAAAGTTGTTCCATGACGAGACTTGAAAAGGAATATCTTAGATTAACAGCAAAATTGTTGACTAAATAGTTTAAGAACTTTTCGAAAGTAATTTAAAATTAAAAGTAAGTAGCTTTATCTTC